ATCTTGGGGCCTTTTCCGGCGCTCCGTCAGAGGGGGAATCAATCACGGAGGGCTTCTACATCAACACCATAGCCTCTCCGATGATGTGTGAGTAGTTTACCACAGACCTTCGGGTCCATAGTTATTAGCTAGATGGCTTCTTCTCTCTCTTTGGATCTCAATACAAAGTTCTCCTCGATTCTCTTGGAGATCTATTCGATGTAATTCTTTTTGCGGTGTGTTTGTCGAGAACCGATGAATTGTGGGTTTATGATCAAGACTATCTATGAACAATATTTGATTCTTCTCTGAATTCTTATATGCATGATTTAATATCTTTGCAAGTCTCTTTGAATTATCAGTTTGGTTTGGCCTACTAGATTGATCTTTCTTGCAATGGGAGAAGTGCTTAGCTTTGGGTTCAATCTTGTGGTGTCCTTTCCCAGTGACAGCAGGGGCAGCAAGGCACGTATTGTATTGTTGCCATCAAGAATAAAAAGATGGGGTTTATATCATATTGCTTGAGTTTATCCCTCTACATCATGTCATCTTGCCTAATGCGTTACTCTGTTCTTATGAACTTAATACTCTAGATGCATGCTGGATAGCGGTCGATGTGTGAAGTAATAGTAGTAGATGCAGAATCGTTTCGGTCTACTTGTCACGGATGTGATGCCTATGTTCATGATCATGCCTAGATATTCTCATAACTATGCGCTTTTCTATCAATTGCTCGACAGTAATTTGTTCACCCACTGTAGAATATGCTATCTTGAGAGAAGCCACTAATGAAACCTATGGCCCCCGGGCCTATTCTCCATCATATTATTTTTCTATGAACTAGCTATTTTTATCATTGTTTATTTTACAATCTTTACTTTCCAATCTATACAACAAAAATACAAAAATGTTTATCTTATTATCTTTATCAGATCTCACTTTTGCAAGTGGCCGTGAAGGGATTGACAACCCCTTTATCACGTTGGTTGTAAGGTTCTTGATTGTTGGTGCAGGTACTAGGGACTTGCGTGTAGTATCCTACTGGATTGATACCTTGGTTCTCAAAAACTGAGGGAAATATTTATGCTACTTTGCTACATCACCCTTTCCTTTTTAAGGAAAAACCAATGCATGCTCAAGAGGTAGCAATCACCCAGAACTCCATTGATCAACACCCTCGAAGTGGCGGTAGAGAGCAAAGCTGAAACCCAGTCGCGAAATCTGTCCGGGAAGCCAAGGTGTTTCAGCAGGTCCATGAGGAAGTCCCAACGTACAGAGTCAAACGCCTTTTTGATGTCTAGTTTGAACAAGAGCGTCGGGGAGCGGTTGCGATGAAACTTTCTTGCCAAGTTTCTGACATATATAAAATTGTCATGGATGCTTCTCTTTTTTATGAAGGCACTCTGGGCGTTGGAGACAAGTTCATGCATGTGAGGAGCCAGCCGGTTAGCCATCATCTTGGCAATGATCTTCGCGATGGCGTGGATGAGGCTAATTGGGCGGAAATCCGAAATGCATTCTGCCCCATCTTTCTTTGGGATGAGAGTGATGTTCGCCGAGTTGAGCCAGTTTAAGTTCGTGGAGTGCAGATTGGAGAAGTGGTTGACAGCAAGCAAAATAGCATCCTTTATGATCTCCCAGCACGCCTTGAAGAAGGCCCTAGAGTAGCCATCGGGTCCCGGTGCTTTGTCGCTGGGAAGATCAAAAATCACCTTTTTCACCTCTTCAACCAAGAAGGCAGCCCCTAAATCAGTTAGATCGCAAGCCGGCACCGGGACGGTGTCCCAGTTGATGTCGGTGGTGCGCGGCTGACCGCGTCTCGTGACCTCAGAAAAGTGGCTCTGTATAATGGATTTCTTGTGGTCGTGAGAAGTAACCCACCCGTTGTTGTGCCTGAGACGGTGAATGAAGTTCTTCCTCCGTCTATGGTTTACACGCAGGTGGAAGAACCGAGTGTTGGCATCACCGTCTTTCAAGTTCGAGATTCTTGAGCTTTTTCTTTTCCGCGCACGCTCAAGAACAGCAAAGCCTACCACTTTCTTCTTAAGTCTCTTTCGAAGATCTCGCTCGCGGGCACTTAGGGGACGAAGATCTTGAGCCACATCCAAGCGAAGAATAACTTCCAGGGCCATATGAATCTGCACCTTCGAGTGCGCGAACATTGTCCTATTCCATTTCCTTAATTTTTTGCCAGCCTCTTTTAGCTTGTGAAAGAGGTTGAGGTATGGGTCAGCGTGACCAGAATTGGTGTTCCAAGCTCCCTGGACTACCTCCTTAAAGCTGGGCATTTTGATCCAAAAGTTTTCGAAGCGGAAGGGTTTTGACCTCTGCGGGCCTTTGCCATTTGAAAGGAGGAGAGGGCAGTGGTCCGATAAGGATGATGAGAGGGCGTGAAGGATGTGTGTGAGCTCGCAGAGATTAAGCGTATTTTTGAAGCGGACGATACAGCTTCGGTCGATATTTGTTTTATTCTTGTCTTGCGCATGGTAGATTTGATTAAAATCACCGGTGACCAACCACTTTGAACCTGGTGGGGGCTTCTTATTGATCAACTCTTGGAAGAAAGTGTGGCAGCACTAGTATACTCTCACATGAGTGGATGCCACTAGAAGTACTATGTTCATGTGTGGGCTTTGTCAATGATTCTCGCCGTGGGTCTTTTTTGACAATAAATTCACGCAGGTGGTCTATGCAAAAAATTCGCACACAGTAGGTACAGGAGTTGCCGTTGGTAATCTTCCAGACCAGCGTTTAAAACAGGTCAAGTGGATAAAGAGCCGGCTGAAAACACTGGCCCTTTCGCTTTCAGTTCCTTGTCAACTCAACAAATCAAGGCCGTTTTACCGAATCAAAAGCATTGGCAAGGAGTGATCATAAACTTGATGCAGAACAATCAATGCAGAGCACTTTTGTAAAAAATAATATAGCCCAGTTCAAAAGTCGTCGTTGCAAACTGACCTCTTCCATTTCTCGGAGCCTATATATATAAACTGTGCGTCTCAAAGACGACCATCTCAATCTATAGACATAACAACAACTAAAGCTAAACAGATTCATCGAAGGCAAACACCAACCGAATCTCGTGACATCCGCCGAAACACATCTCTACATGCCCTTCAACGATGAAGACGCACCGCCAAAACTGGGCCTAGGTTGGGAAAACCTTATTGCATCCTCAGGGAACCGCCACTCACTCGTTTTCCTGAACAAGACACAAACAGTAAACAAGCTAAAAACCTAGACATAAAGTTGGAGCCCTCCACCCGCAAGAGCTGGGATCCACCGCGCCTGATAGCCCTAATGCCACAGGAGGTTAGGTAGATCGACGCAGCCGCCGGCGGGAGGCAGGGGAACCCTAGCTAACGTGGGACTTGCTTGTGGAAGAGGCAAGCGAAGTCTTTACTTAATCTAATGATCTCAACTTAATATATTTTTTATGAAGAAATGATCACAACTTAGTTAAATCTATGGGCAAACTTTAATCCAAAATAAGAGGGATTTAATAAACCGGAACGGAGGGAGTAGGACCATTGCGACTAGTATCTTACAACGGCCAACCAGTTTAGTGCTTTCTCACCGTTATTGTTGACCTGTGTTGTACCCCTTCTATAAACTAATAGAAGAGCTGATAAGTTCACAATACAACATACCTTTGAGATTGTGAACTATATGACCAGAATGCAATCGAGATACTATCCCCATCTTAAAGGTATGTTGTATTGTGAACTTGCCATTATTATCTACTCTCTTCGTTCCTAAATATTTGTCTTTCTAAAGATTTCAAATGGTCATCATATACGAATGTATATAGACATATTTTAAAATGTAGATTCACTCATTTTGCTCCGTATGTAGTCACCATTTGAAACCTCTAAAAAGACAAATATTTAGGAACAGAGGGAGTATTAAATTAGTAAGCTGACCATTGGTTCGTTTTCAATGCAAATATGTCATTTTGTCTTTGTTAGATTCATGGTAAGTTCCCCCGAGAAAAAAAAAGGAGAAAAACAGACTCATCGAAAGTGTGACAGCACTAGTATAATCCCTCTCGAGTGGATGCCACTAGAACTCTAGAAGTGCTGAAGTAAGCAACGAAGAAAAATGTTCACGTGTGGGCTTTGTCAATGATTCTCACCGTGGGTCTTTTCTGACAATGTATTCTCGCAGGTGGTCTACTGTGCAAGAAATTCGCACACAGCAGGTAGAGGAGTTGCCGTTGGTTATCTTCCAAATCAGCGACTAAAACAAGGAAGTTGATAAAGAACTGGTTGCTCTTTTCGCTTTCAATGCCCTGTCAATTCAACAAATCAAGGCCGTTTTACCGAATCAAAAGCGTTGGCAAGGAGTGACCCTCCTCCGATGGTTTGAGTGGACACAAGATCATAAACTTGATGCAGCACAGTCAATGCAGGGCACTTTTGTATGTAATACAAAGTCCTTGCCGCAAACCGACCTCTCCCATTTCTCTGCGCCTATATAAACCCTCCGTGCATCTCAGAGACGACCATCTCATCAACGATGACGAGCCTCTCTTCTTATGTCTTGCTTCTCATTTGCGTGGCCACACTGTACACCACCAATGCATCCCAAGAGGCAAGGCTGAGAGAGTTCATCTCCTCTAGGAGGGACATTGACAGCAGCACCGACACGTTTAGACCGCGTAGCATAGCCGAGAGGGGCGCTGGCAGCCTGGACACAGAGAGCTCTTGCCTCTGACCAGAGCTCTCTGAAGGCGGCCGACAAGATCACGGCGCTGCCCGGGCAGCCGGAGGGCGTCGATTTCGACCAGTTCGGCGGGTACGTGACCGTCGACGAGGAGAACGGCCGCGCCCTCTTCTACTACCTCGTCGAGTCGCCTTCCGGTGCTTCAGAGAAGCCACTCCTGCTCTGGCTCAACGGAGGTTAGAAGTTAGAACTATAAATCGGTAACTGAACATATCATGTATAAATTTCTCCATGACAGTGGTAACCCTGACACTTGCATACAAAGGGCCAGGGTGCTCGTCGCTGGGTACGGAGCAATGCAGGAACTGGGCCCGTTCCGTGTAACGGAAGACAACAAAACGCTCGGCAGAAACATGCACGCTTGGAACAACGGTAAACCTACGGGCGCCTTGTACAGACTAATAGTTACTTCCCCTTTAATTACATAAGAGAACTCAATTTGCTTGTGAAATATACTGGCAGCGGCTAACGTGATCTTCCTGGAGTCGCCGGCCGGTGTGGGATTCTCCTACTCCAACACGTCTTCAGACTACGACCTCAGTGGCGACGAGCGAACCGCCGACGACGCGTACGTCTTCCTGGTGAGATGGCTGGAGAGGTTCGCGGAGTACAAGGCCCGCGCCTTCTACATCTCCGGCGAGAGCTACGCCGGCCACTACGCGCCACAGCTCGCCGCCACCATCCTACTCCACAACACGTACAACAACAGAACCATAGTCAACCTTCAGGGCATCTTGGTACGTGAAATTTACAAGCTATACTGCTATAGTCATACTCGTATGAAACATGGTGAATGACCAAAGGTCTTCTGAATATTAAATGGGCTCTTTTCTGTCGAAGGTTGGCAACCCTTATCTCGACGACAAGAGGAACAATCAGGGCACCATTGACTTCTTCTGGACACATGGGGTGATGTCGGACGAGGTCTACGCCAACCTCACCGAGCACTGCGACTCTGCAGGTGAAGCATGCAGCGGCGCCTGGGACGCGTTCGACGCCGGCCAAATTGATGCGTACAACATCTACGCTCCCGTTTGCGTCGACGCGCCCGACGGAGCGTATCACCCCAGTGGCTACGTAAGGAAACAAATTCATTCTTAGTTGCTTGTGCAGTCAAAATTGAAACTGAAATTCTTAATTAGTTTCTCCCAAAATTGCATGCAGCTGCCTGGGTATGATCCGTGCAGCGATTATCCTACCATTGCCCATCTCAACGATCCAGCAGTGCAGGAGGCTTTCCACGCTAGGATGACAGAGTGGTCGCCATGCAAGTAATCCTTTGAACTGGGCACTGATTTAGCACACAAACGGTCAACAATTTTGCAATGTTTTTCACCCACACGTCCGGAAGTTAACCATGTGATTTGTGGTTGCAGAAACTTTTACGTGGAAAGATGCGCCGGTGACTATGCTCCCATCCATCAAATTCTTGATCGAGAACAAGCTTCCCGTGACTATGTGGATATTCAGGTAGTAACAGATTACCATCAGTTATTCTCAGACACCTGGAAAGTATTTACTGTTAGTAGTAAATAAACTTTGCTACATTTTTACAGTGGTGACTTCGACTCCGTGTGCCCTCTTCCGGCGACGAGGTACTCCATTCAAGACCTTGGACTTCCTGTGACCACTCCATGGCGCCCATGGGTGGCAAAGGAGGAGGTGAATCCCATCATCGAAACATTTCTCATCTACTACAATGTTTTGGTCACCTGAAACTGACGAATTCACTCACTGGTTAGGTGGCAGGGTATGTCCAACAGTACGCCGGAGGATTGACGTTTCTATCAGTGAGAGGTGCCGGTCATCTTGTTCCGTCCTTCCAGCCTGAGAGGGCGTTGATAATGTTGACTTCTTTCCTGAAAGGGATGCTCCCGCCTTACACACAGGACTAGTGAGTCATGTCAGGACAGTTGCTACGGCACCAAAATGGAAGGTTTATTTGCTTAATCTTACTATGATATGTACTTGTATCCGGTCAGAGTTGAAAATGGTCCTTGTCCTTTGAGTGGACGTGTATTTCTTGTTAAATGACTTCATGATACAACTTTGAATAATGAGATTGCTAAATTCGTGAGATCTCACGCGGAGATCCGTGCGAAATTGTCTTTTATACTTTTTCTTTCTTCTTTTTTTACATGTTTTGCCATTTGATTGAGACTTGGTTAAGTCTTAGTCGACCGTGATCTAGCCACACCCTTTGAATAAAGATAACTGCTACGGTTTGGTGGTTAGCTTTTAATGATTTTGTGAGGATCACGCAGATGTATTTATTTATTTTGTAAGGAAGAAACAAAGTTTAAGATCATAATTTTCATGTGGCTCGTGATGAGGAGCGAAGCCAAGACCGAGCTATGTCTGGAGCTAGCACAGAAGCTAAACAATATATTTTCATAATTTCTTTCTTTCTTTATTTTGTGTTTTAAAGATGCTTCATGTTTGGAAAATTAAGGCACCTTTAAAAATAAAGATCTTCATGTGGTTTGTACACAAGCAAGTGGTCTTTACTAAGAATAACTTGGCAAATCGTAATTGGGAGGGTAGTAAACGATTGTTGCTTCTGTGATGAGGATAAATCAATACAACATATTTTCCTTCACCAGTTAGAGAACTGGTTAGCCACAACTTTAATTGGTGGCGCGCCATTTTCAACCAACGCCACCACTATTTTTCTAAATAGTGGCGGCATTGTGATATTTGGTACGACATTGCTACGACCTTAGTGTTGGCATTGTACTTTTTTTCACGTCATAGATGTTTTCTATTTTTTTTTCTATGGGCTACACTTTGTTATGGCGTGGCCTGTTAGGCCAGCGCCAGCACTAGTGTAATCTGCTATCTACCTCTCCCAATAAAAAAAATCTAAGTCGTTCCTATCCACCACCCCATATTTTTCACTCCCCCTCTTGACCAGCGCCGTCGTCGCCGCCACCTCCGAACCTCACCGCTCGTCGCCGCCGCTACCTCCGGGCCTTGCCGGTTAGATCCCCTTCCTTTGTGCATCTTCTTTCCCACCCCTCGCGCCTCCCTCATCCGCAGACGTTATGGAATCCATGGATTAGGTTTCTTCCTGGTCAATATTAGCAGTGTAGAATACATGGATTGCTTAGTAGAACCGATTTAATAGTGTAGAATCCATGGATTGCTTTGTGTACAAATTTTGTAGTGTACAATCCATAATTATAAGAAATTTAGTAGTGTAATTTTTATTTGTGTGTAGAAATCCATACTTAGTTGAAATTTAGTAGTGTGTAGAATCCATGGATTGCTTACTAGTGTAGAATCCATACTAAAAAAAGAGTCCGATTTAGTAGTGTAGAATCCATGGATATGTTATTTTAATGTCAAAAATTCGCTTTATATGCTTTTGTCTACAATCATGTTAATGATTATATTATGTGTGCAATCCGATTTTAATAGTGAATTAAGTGCAGATTTTTTTTTGAGTGTACAATATTTTTTAGTTTAAAAACGATCCAATCATATATAGTCTTTTAGTGTTGAATCACCGATTAATATGCTTTTGTGTACAATCCGATCATATATTTGTAGCCTAATTAGCCATTAACTATCATCACTAATAGGAAAATGGCGCCACCACCACCACCACCATGTCAACTGTGCAAGTCAAGGTGTGCCAACAGTCTTGCAACTGGCATGCTGTTTGGCATCTATTTTCAGTCGAGTTTTGTTCCTGCGGCGGTAACAAATTATATGCACCTTCTAACAGTCATTTATTTTGTTTCTACTACTGTTACCATTAATTCATTGTGTGCGTGTGTGTTTTGTTTTTTCTTACACAGATCGTCCCATGCAATGTGAGGTTGAAATTCAATGAGCTGACCGGAGACACTGTGACATTTGATGCTCCTAGAGGCCCCTACACTTTGGAGGTCAAGAAAGGACGAAAGATGTCCCGGATGAGAGGAGATGGATGGGATTGTTTCATCGCTCACATGCGTCTCACTGGGGTGAATTGACCAGCTTCTCCTTCATAGGACGAAAACCCATGCTGGTTGTCATCTATATATATCAACACGGAAGAAGATGATTAGGACCCTTGATGAAGCCCTTTATGCCTAAAGTATGAGGCTGGCCGAGGACGAGACAGGCAACCTCTGGTACATACTTCCACCACGTGATGACTACGTCGGGGTGCCATTCGTGGACTGTCTTACCATGACCAATGTTACCCGCCATGTCATGATATATTACTTAGTGTAGTAACTTGATGATATACTTAGTGTAGTAATTTGATGATATGCTTAGTGTAGAATCCGATGATATGCTTAGTGTAGTAATAGATGGAATACTTAGTAGTGTGGAATCCATCTTAGTAGAATCTGATTTAGTAGTGTAGAATCCATGGATTGCTTTGCGTAGAATTTTAGTTGTGTAAAAAAAATTTAGTGTAGAGAATTCATATTAGTACAAATTTAGTAGTGTAGAGAATTCATACTTAGTAGAAATTTAGTAGTGTAGATTTTTTTTAGTGTAGAAATCCATACTTGGTAGAAATTTAGTAGCGTGTAGAATCCATGGATTGCTTACTAGTGTAGAATCCATACTTAGTAGAGTCCGATTTAGTAATGTAGAATCTGATGATATATGTGGATTGATATGTTTGCGAGAGTATATATGTAATATGCGCGAGGCTACTTAATTGAATTTTGTTTCTTCAAAAAAATAATTCTAAAAGGCCATCTGTGAGGCAGGTTATGCTGGAATACGCCTTACCACAAGGGGCCCCGTCACCACCTGCGTACACAGTGGACACGAACAGTCGTACTGTCTTAAGCTTGGTGGGGGTGGAACAACTTCCTTGTTGGCAAGAATCTCCAGGTTGGATAGGCCGTCTTAGTCACTATCAGGAACACCAGACGCCATGACTTGATAATGATGATCGTCATCGATATCATTTAAAACAATGTGTGTGCATAGGTCATCGATGTTACTAAGTAAACTGCTTATATATTAGTTCGCCATGATGTATGCATGTTGACAATGACTATCTAGCTAGTGTTTGTGAGATTATGTTTATTTAACTCGTATTGTTATATATAACTACATTGCTCAGTGAGATGCAATGTTAACAATGACTACCTAGTAAACTTATTGCTAGTCTATTGTGTGTTGTTTTATATGTTGGCTCCAATATGAGGTGCAAAATGTTATATGGTGGTGCAATATTACTACTTTTGACTGCACGAAACGTTGGTGGCATGCATAGTATATTAGACGTCGCTACGAGAGAAATTATAGTGGTGGCGTTAACCACGTGGCATGCCATCAACATCTAAAACACTGCTGACGTGAGCTCCGACGCCATTACTATCTTTTACGAATGGCGCTATATTGGTGGCATCGGCCTCCCACGCCAGCAATGCCCTTTTGCCACGGCATAGTTAGGCTTTTTCTGCACTAGCGCTCAAATGACCGCTAGTCAAGTTATTGTGGCGTATCATACATGTGTCCTTTAATGTCAGACCGCCTAATATGATTGCCATTTTATTTGGGACATGGCTAAACATAATAGAGTCTAAGACACTGGTGTATATTAGGCGGTTTATTAAATTTTCTGGAATGTGTCTTAGGCTCTATCACAAAAATTACGGTGTCTTAGGCTCTATCACAAAAACATACAAAACATCACAAAAATTACTTTTTCTGATAATGCTCACATTGCAATTTTCTGGAATTGCCATGGCAAAAATTACCATCAAAAAAATAGAATGAACAGTAGAACCAAAAATTATGAACAAAAAATTACCATGGCAGATTCATATCCAAATTTGACATGTTGTTTTAATTTAAATTTCGATGTGTTGTATGAGAGATTTGCCGTGTATGTAAAATGAGAAAATTGAAAAAAAGTTGACATGGTAGATGTATATTGAAATTTGGCATGGTGTTTTTTATAGAAAATGCCATGCTTTGTATGGAAATTGCCATGAAAAATAGAATGAACAGTGCAAACACAAATTATAAAGAAAGTTACCATGGTAGATCCATGTTAAAACTTGCCATGATATTTAACTAAAATTGTCATGTTTTGTATGAGAAATTTGCCATGAAAAAAAATAGAATGAACACTAGGAACATGAATTATGAACAAAAAAATTCCATGGTAGATTCATGTTAAAATTTACCATGCTATTTTAATTTAAGTTTCCTTGTGTTGTATGAGAGATTTGCCATGTATGTAAAATACACGAAGTACCAAAGAATTCATGGAAGATGTATATTGAAATTTGCCATGGTGTTTCAATAAAAACTTCCAACGCATGGGGGAGCAACTCGCCGCCGGCACGGCCATCGCGCTGGACTTGGATGTGGGTGAGCAAGAGACGCTGCTTGACTCCTGCCGCTCCCCCATGACATCCGCCATGGCCACTGGTGGTACCGCCTCCACCAGGTGGAGTTAGAAGCCGCCTTCAAGGAGATCGACTAGGCGGCAGATGAAGTTCACTACAAGAACGAGGAAGAAGACCACGTCGCCAGCTCTGCCTCGACCGTGCCCCGCCGCCACGATGACAAAGGCAGCACGTCCACGGGCGCCGCCGGCAGCGAGGAAGCGTAGAACATGGGCGAACGGCAATGCTTGGGTCCCAGGAAGGCCACCACTCTTCCCTTCCCGTTGAAGTTGAGCTTGGCGCGTTCATCATCTTTGGCCGATTAGCCACTTGCAGGCTGCGGAGGCGGAGCTTCATTTTCGGGGCTCATGGCCGACCGTACATGAGAAACAGACGCCGGTGGTCGTTTAGATTAGGTTTAGAGTACGGTTTAGTTGAAATATGTCGAAATGTGATGAGTTTGCTCCGGTTTAGATGAAAAGCATCCGGTTTTACGTAAAAGATATTGAAGTATGAATGAATATCGTCCGGTTTGTTTAAATATGCATCAAAATTGTTCAGTTTCATTAAAAAAATGAAATATAATTGAACATTTGCGGCTACGGTTGGATGACCGGCTCCCGTATCAGTGTTTGTGAACTGGTCACATCGGTCCGCAAACAAATGTAGTGTTCGGTATAAAGGTCAGCGTTGGAAATGGCCTAAGATGTCTTATTAGGGCATGAGCAATGGGGGCAGCGGTAGCTGCCGCCCCGATGCATCCAGCTAGATATGGGAAAAAAATGATTTTTTCAACCACACATGACCAAAAGTTCATGTCTTTCATGCTATGGACCCTAATATCATCATCTTTGGTCTCACATTTTCTCATCTCTCCCCACTTTTTTTTTTGAGGGATCTCTCCCCACTTTTTCTGTCCAAGAAGTTGCCTTCTGCAGAAGATCCCCCGACATGTTTGGAGCATCAACAGAACCTAGCTGGACCATCCGAACCTGTGGGGCAGCACCCCTAGGGCTACCTGCTGGACATGCCCTTATATGACGATTTTCTTTTACTTTATTATATAAAACACGCAATGGTTCACGTATGATAGAAACTTGTACTGATTGCAAAAAAGAAAATAAAAAACTTGCACTACTGAGCAACTGTGTACGTATGCCAGCTTTTCTTCCGTTTTTTGTATGATGGACCAAATCATCCATTAGATCGCATCATTTTGCAAATCAGCACCATTCAAAGTGGGCATTGTACAAAATTCATACATGCATTGTCGTGCGCCGAGTAGTTTCACTGGTTTGCCCCCTGTACTAACTTCACTCTATCTCTTCTATCAATGAAATGATACACTGCTAAGCGTATTCACCAAAAAAAGTTTTGTTGGTTTTATGAGCCACAACAAATGATCAATTAATTCTCTCCCGCGGTACCAAAATCGGTTGGATAAACGTCGTACATATGGTACTTCTAATATACAACATTCGTCTTGCGCAACACTTTTCCATTGGTAAGTAGGGGAGAACAGCATAGAGTTGGGTTACAAGGGTAACACCTGGTGACGTACACACGGAAGGGCGTAGCGAGGAGTTACAAGAGCAGAACGGGTTGCTCAGCCCCACGAACTAAAACGTCCTAGGAGTATTAAGCTAGCAATGCCCTTCACTCCGGCCTTGGCCCAGGCGCTAGCTTCATCCTCCTCCTCCTTCTTCTTCTTCTTCTTCCTTTTTTTCCGCGAATAGCTAGCTTTATCCTTGATAGACTGCAACAGGAGCGCGGTGGAGGGCCGGGCGTTGTCCGAAGATACAGGCATACTGATGCGTCCAGATGGACCAGACAAGCATTTCGAAGTCTTTCGCGACACTGTTGTGGTGCTTGATACGACGAAGATTTTCACACCCATTACTAGAGGATCTTAGCAAATAACCAATCTGCATCAAAAATGTCGGTTTTGAGTTTACAGTACACAAGGAACGACTTGGACAAAAGAGATTATATTTCAGAAAATATATATTATAAACTTTTTTGTGGTAAATATATATTATAAACTAAAGTACATGTACCAAATTCCCATTTCATGTGGCTACCATGTGAGGAATCTATGTAGATGATGATGTATGGTCAGAGCTAAATGTCTTACAACGCAGGCCATTTCGAATTGCAGGGGAATCTGAGTATGAAACGCAAACTCGTACTCCGACAACGCACAACGTTATTGCTTCCCATGCGTAAATTAGCACCAACATAATTTTATTTTATAAGCTAAGGTAGTGCTGCGATCAAGCTTGGGTAATGGCACAATGTAAATTGGTAGCAGTACCCATGGATTAAGTAGGAGGATTCATAACATCCATACTGTAAGAGGATAATAAAACTTGTATTCAAGAGTTGGAGTACATCTTTGGGACGGAGGGAGTATGTTATGACCGACATATTAGGTGGGCTGTGGCCCAAGTTATCTTATCGTTATTAGGGGCTTAGCCCAGTTATCTTATCGGTATTAGGGTCGTTTGCTTAGGAGTCAAGTAAATCTCTCTATATAAGGAGAGGAGATGTATCAATCTAATCAAGCAAGAAGCAATCAGTATTTGCTCGGCTTCCCTTAGGGAGCCGGGAGACCTAACCCTAGCCGCCTCTTGGCGCCGCCGCCGCCTCTTCTCCACCACGCAAGGACGGCGCCCAGCCGCCGGCCGCCGCGCCCTTGACCTCGTCTTCCTCCATCTTTCCCCTACAATCTCCGTCCTAGAACCAACAGAACCCTAGCTCCTAACACCTTGGTATCAGGTAGCTCAGTTCCGATCATGTCTTCGCCGCCGCCCATCCCGTCGCTTCCGCTGCCGACCGTCACCACCATGCCGCTGGCCTTCTCCACCGCGCCGCTGCCCTCCCCGTCCGTGCCGCTGGTCGCATTCTCCGGCGCCGCCACCACCCAGATGACGGCGCCCTCCACCGCACCATCGGCCGCCGTCTACTCCCCGGTGGAGATCACCGGGGTCCTCAACGATCTCGTCACCGCCGTCCAGGGGATACAACTATACCTAGCTGGCCCCTACGGGTCGCCGGCCGCCGTGACCGGGCCGGCCGCCCTGCCGTGGTATTCGGCACCCGCGGCGCCGACGGGGCCTCTACACCACCACTGGCCGCTTCAGCCGCCGCCCGCTGCCGCGCCCCAATGGTCGCAGTGGCTGGCGCCGGCCCTCGCTGCGTCACCCACGCCACCCGGGTCGTTGCCGCCACCGCCCTGGCAGCCCTGGCAGCCGCCGCACCCCGGGGCCACCGTGACGCTGGTCGGGCCGCTGCAGCTACAGCCAGCCCCCGCCACCGCCCCGATCTGGCCACAATGGCCGGCCACGGCCATCGCCGCACCCGCCACCTCCGCCGTTTCCAGGCAGCAGCAGCTGCCGCGGCCGGCGCCTCCGCCGCCCAGCACCGGGCTGACTACAACCGCGCCGGCGGGCGTGCCGATTCAGCAAGTGCAGTTCCCGCCCTCGCCATCCCAGCTTCCGGCCTGGTTGCCCGGGACGTCACCACCGCCAGTCTACACCATGGCCGTCGACCAGCTGGCGCCCTCCCTGTCGTACGACGGGCCCTCCGGCTCCGCGGGTTTCCACGCTGGCTTCGACGGGCCACCGCTTTCCTGCGGACCACCTGTGCACATCGGACCAATGCCATCCTCTTCGCTGCTCCGTACCGCCGAGTCGTACACTCATGGCGGTCATGCTCAGACACCGCCGCGCTTCGCCAAGCTCGCCTTCGCCACCTACGACGGCGCCGAGGACCCCCTCAACTGGCTCAACCAGTGCGAGCAGTTCTTCTGGGGGCAACGGACGCTCGCGTCGGACCGCACCTGGCTCGCCTCTTATCACCTCCGCGGCGCCGCACAGACGTGGTACTACGCCCTCGAGCAGGACGAGGGCGGCATGCCCTCATGGGAGCGTTTTCGCGAGTTCTGCCTCCTTCGCTTCGGACTACCGATACGTGGGAGCCGGCTGGCGGAGTTGGGCCGCCTTCCCTTCACCTCTACGGTGCAGGACTACATCGACCGCTTTCAGGCCCTGGCGTGCCACGCGTCCGCCGTGACGGCTCACCAGCGGGCCGAACTCTTCGTCGGCGGTCTGCCAGATCATATCCGCGTGGACGTCGAGCTGCAGGGACCCCAGGACCTCCAGACGGCCATGTACTACGCCCGCGCGTTCGAGCGCCGCGCGGTGGCCATCCAGCAGGCATCACCGTCCCGGGCCGCTGGGCCGCCACCCTGGCCGGATGTTTCCGAGCAGGGTCAGCCTGCTCAGGCTTCCGCAGCACACCTTGCTGTGACCGCGGCGCGCCCGTTCCGCCGGTTCACCTCGGCCGAGCTACTCGAGCGTCGCCGCCAAGGGTTGTGCTTCAACTACGACGAGACCTACATGCCCGGCCACGTCTGCCCCCGACTCTTCTACCTGGAGGCTGCAGACTACATTGAGGAGGACGCCGTCGCCGCCGGGCTCGGCGACCTGGCCGCCCCAGCTGTCGCGGAGGTGTTTGACGCTGGTTGATCACCTCGAGGAGTTCAGTAAGCGCTTCCCCGCCTTACAGCTCGAGGACGAGCTGTTTGTGCAGGCGGGGAGAAGTGTTATGACCGACATATTAGGTGGGCTGTGGCCCAAGTTGTCTTATCGTTATTAGGGGCTTAGCCCAGTTATCTTATCGGTATTAGGGTCGTTTGCTTAGGAGTCAAGTAAACCTCTCTATATAAGGAGAGGAGATGTATCAATCTAATCAAGCAAGAAGCAATCAGTATTTGCTCGGCTTCCCTTAGGGAGCCGGGAGACCTAACCCTAGCCGCCTCTTGCGCCGCCGCCGCCTCTTCTCCACCACGCAAGGACGGCGCCCAGCCGCCGGCCGCCGCGCCCTTGACCTCGTCTTCCTCCATCTTCCCCCTACAATCTCCGCCCTAGAACCAACAGAACCCTAGCTCCTAACAGAGTACATCTTTTTAAATGGCAAAGTAGTACGGTATCGGTTGGTATTAACAGATCAAATGGCATTCTCGGCAGTGGTCGACATGTCGTGGTCATCAACAAGTCCAACATTGTTCCCCACCAAAAATAGTTCAGAATTTTCACTCTTTCACGGGTAGATAGAGAGGATTGTGCTGGTTACTGTAGGGGCAATTTGAGAACACTCCGCTGCTTCCATATCAGTATTCCATAAAATGTACCAGAAGTGCAAATATACTACTCACAGTCACATATATTCCAATGCATCTGCACAATGGCCCGAATTTAATATGTGTATGAATATGACATGAGGATGAAGAAATTCATGGCCATGACATGCTTTCTTCTATACTGAAGTGGTACTCAGACATACCAGGGTCTCATGAATCTAATTAATAGCTTCATCAGGTGATACCAACAACCAAACCAGCATGTTACTGACATGATAGGCCTGATCTCACAATTTCGTATCTCCAATACATGTGTTCCAAAACAAGGGTGAAAAAGTTCACATCAGGATTCAGGAAAAGTATTCAGGAATTAAAAAGTTCATAATAAACCATGGTTTCTTTTCTACTGAATGATGGCATAAACATAACAGGATTCAGGAATCAAACTACCAGTTTCATCACAAGCTAGCAATGACCAAACCAGCATCTAGAAGACATACATCAGTGGACAACCAGCACACAGTTACCAATTTTCATAGCCCGTCCCTGGCTCATGCGAATCTGAAATTAGTCGGCACTTCCCCTCTGCAAGCAGCATCATAGTCTTCAGCGAGGTATGGTGCAGCTTCCGTGTGAGGGCATATGAACTTCTCCACGAACACCTTCTCGGTCGCCTTGACAATTGAAAAGTAACTCCATCCGAGATTTAGCATTCCATTTTCCTTAAGGAACTTCGTAACATAGTACCGAGGCCTCAGTCGACCCTCGAGGCTAAGACAGAGCATTACTGACCGAGGAGCAATGTACGCCGGTTCCAGCCCCACCTCAGAGATAAGGAACTCGGACATACGCAGGAGCGTGTCCTCAGACCTCGACAGCACCATTGGAGACCTACAGACAGCAATGCCCACCTCAGCATCGGACCACCTGAACGTCCTCTTCAAGTACGCCACTTCGGCGGCGATCTTCTCCTCGCCGCGGAACGCGACAGCCTGCATCGCTTTTCTGAACATCCCGGAGCCGCGGCGCACACCCAGACTTTCGGTACATGCCGCCATCGCCCGGACCTTCTCTGGTTTGATGCTAAGCAGCCTCGGAAGAGAGGTGCACAGCTTGGCAATATCACAAGCACCTAGCCCGCACTCCCGCAGGAATACGACGTTGGGCTCTACCACCTTGTCGATGTTGGATGACAGGAGGTAGGAGTTCTGCTTGAGAACGCGAAGGAGGTTCTCCGGGGATCTGAAGAGGGGCAGGTAGTAGTGCAGCCTGGAGACGACGGGTTTGCAGCGGAAGATAGTGCAGCCGAGCATAACGAGCTGAGCGATCTGAGAACGCGACATGCCCATGCCGGCGAGCCCCGCGACATTGGAGGTTAGTGTGTCCACTTTGGCGCAGAGCAACCGCGGGTCAGCGGCGACGAGGGCGGCGACGTCGGCGCTCGAGAGGCCGAGGCCGGCGAGGAGGGCGAGGACGGAGTCGGGCTTGGAGGGTGACTTGAGGCCGGAGAGTTTAAGGGAAGCCTTGAGGGCCTGGGGTCGGGTGAGGCCGCAGGTGGCGACGAGGTAGTCCTCGACGGCGAAGCCCGGATTTGCCGGAACGGGGGGCACCGGCTCTGTGGTTGAGAGGAGACGGCGGAGAGAGATGGGAGAGGCGGGGGGCGAATGGAGGAGATGGGTGAGGATGCAGCTGCGGAGACGGATCATGGCGGCCGCGACGGCGCGATCGCGGTGAGTGCCGGCGGCAGCGGTTATCTTCCCGGCGATGGGGGTGGGGAATGCTGATGAGTTTTTTTTTTTTGAAGTTCGGAATGCTGATGAGTTGCAGGTGTGCGTCGTCTGCTGAGAAAAACGAAAGTCCAATAATTTTTCTCCACTATTATTAATTATTAAACAATTAAACAAAAAATTTCTTACATGCACCCTGTAATTAGCCCCACAACACCACACGACCCAGCCAACACCACACGATTAGTCCCACTAAACTTAATCTAACGGCTGGCCTTAATTTGATCTATTTTCTGTGTATACTTAGAACATCTCCAACAGGCGTCTAAAAAGAGCTCCGCGCATTAAAAATTTGTTTTTTGGGGCGTCCAACAGCTCCAGCAGATGCTGTAACGCTAAAATGTTTTGAGCGCGCGCTGAAAAACGCTATCGCGCAGCATATTTTGGGCTTCGGATTGGGCGCGCTTCACAAATTGCACTGTCTGCTTTTTGGGCGCGCGTCTTTGGGCGTCTGCTAAAGCAATGTTGGTCCCGACGCACTAAAAGTGCTAAAGTGGCACGCTATAACTTTTATTGGATGCGAGATTTTTGTGCGGCCGTTGGAGATGCTCTTAGTAATTTAAATTGACTGACCGTACTCCACCACAGAGGAAAATATGGAATTCCAGGACCCGCACCACCCTAATCACGTAACGGGAAAATAGGAAACTAATCGCCCGAGCACACGATGCCTTCCGCTGCCTATTGGGACGCGAACGGCCGCCGCACGCACAAACCGCGGCTGATCTGCCTATCCCTCACCCACGCCCAATCTTCCCGGCGCAGACACCACTCTCCTCCACCTCCAACCTCCTGCTGGAGGCTGCCATCCTCAACCACGGGTTTAGCACTCCGTCTCTCTCCATCGCCAGGAGGCGTCGACTACGGCTCCGTATTGAAGGACGGGAGCGTGGGAGCCGCACATAAAGCCAGCTCGGACTGCCGCCGGCGGCCGCTCCTCCTTTGATGGAAGCAAGCGCAGGCCTCCGCCGGCCGCTCCTCCGATCGTTGCTCCACGTACGCTGCCGCCCTCCTCTATCGTCGCGCGCTTGTCCGCCAACCTGATCCGGGAGCCAGAGAAGCCAGTAATAAATTTCCTCCCTTCGTCGTTCACGTTCATGTCCACGCACCGGCCACAACACAGGTGCCTACGGAGCTTCACGCCACGGTCTAGATGACGCCAAGGTTCTAACTAAATCAGATAGCCTATTGAATTCATGCACCAACCAACTTATTTAAAAGTCCAAACTGATGGAGGGAGGCGGGCAATATACTATAACACTCCCCCTCATGTCTAGGCTGTTTTAGTTCTTAGACGTGGGATCGATGTAGGCCGCAGAATCGTTTTATTTAATACTGCGTTGGCATGGTCTTGTACGCAAGACCTCTTAGCTCGGATACCATATTAAATTCATGCACCAGCTAACTCATCCAAAAGTTCGAACTGATGAAGGGAGGCGGGCAATATATTTCAACATTGTCTGTCGGAAACTGGCCGCAAGTCTGCCATGATACCTGCGTGTTGGCCGCCTCTGCACTCTGCAGAACCGATCTGTTGCACCCACGAAGCCTGCAGGTAATTAGTCTCATGTCAACCAAATTGTTCTAAAAGGTCCAAGTGTGAATTAAGATGGCTGCTTGCTTGCTTCTTTTGCCTGCAAGTGTGCTCGCTTACTTTTTCATAGCAGTATGTTCTCATGCGTCAGATCGTGGTTCTTCTAATTGATTAAGGTAACTACTTGTTTGCTTTTTTGTGCTCGCTCACTTGATTTTTTATCTCATGATATAAGTTTTATGTGTACCAAGTTGTGAATTAAGAGGACTGAGTTCTTTGGGCATAATTTAGTTACTGTGGTGAACAGAAGGCCGTGTAAAAAGGCAATGGACAATGGAACAGGTAGGACATATACACGAGATCGTATGCTGCAGAGTTTAGACATGCTTATTTGTTTCGGAATATGGAATAGAAGAACAGATACATGACATAGAACACATATAAAGCTTCAGCATGGAATTCTAAAGCAACAAATTTTTCTGTTCGATGTACTGTCATCCTGTCAATGGCATTTTGAAGTTCATAATGACTGTTAATCAAATATGTAGCTAGGACTTCTGAGTTTTTATTGACCTGATGGAGTTGGAGACTTTAGATGGAGTTGAAGCAACAAAAGCACTCCACCAGTGCACGACAATAGTTATTAACAAAGCATGCTTCCATGTATCATTTCTCACCCAACTCGCGGTCTAGGGTTCCATGTGGTCAATCATGGTCTGGGTCTGTTAGCGTCACACAGCCGACCTCTAAAACTCCACTTAATCCATTTTTCTTTGTTTTCTTTATTTCCATCTTTGGAAGGAGACTTCCTTCTCGACCTTGTTGACTTGATTTCTGATTGGTATTTCTGATCTTTGAGCTTGATTTGAACAGAGCACACGAAAGATTGACTGTAGTTAGTTCCGTGTTCTGACAAATAAGTGTAGTTAGTCTTCAGGTTGCCTCATCCTAAAATCCGAATACATCGCCAGTCAACTCAATTTTGGTACTACAATTTACATGTGTATTTTGCTGTTGGGGGATTATGTTCAAGGTTTCATTTTTATCCCGGCACTGGATTGAAGTGACATTTTAATAGTAATTTTAGTGGTGTACAACTGTACCAGCTATTATTATTTGTTGCAATAGGGATTAGTGTAGATTGGTATAAAAGCATATCATGTTAGTCCATATTTAATTCAAAGGTAGGACTTCTTTAGTTATATTTGCTGATAGCCTTGCATTTGCTACCAAGGTTCAGTCTGCTGTAGCTCAACTGTGATATGGTTAATGTTTCTCCCGTGATTATTTTGGTGTGGATCGGTGAGCCCTTCAGAAGTTGTCCTCCAACTTGCTTTATAACTATATATAGATTATATTAGTTGTAGCTTGTTGTGAATCTGTTTCCCCCCCACTCTTGCTCTAGAGGCCCTTCTGAAGCTAACTGAGATATTGTTAGTTTACAATCCTTCCAAAGAGACTTTGTGATATGCATAAGAGTGACAATGATATTTTCAAATCCTAAAGAATTGATTGCACTTACATGCATTCTACCTATTACTTGTAGAGTGCAAGACTTTTCTTTTTGATGGAATCTAAATCGAAAGAAGCATAAGCATGCAGAGGAACAAGTCGTCCACCTTGTTGGTACAAATGGACTACAAGATTTTATACATGCGATGGATTAGATGATATTTGATGATTTGAGCCTTGTACTGGTGGGATTTCCACAACACTACATATGATCTAAACATTGACTGAAAATATTTATCAGAGTATTTTTTTTCAAACAAATAATTTTTCATAATATTACACTTGTCATCCCAGATGATGGTTATTAAGTACAAAATTCTTTTTCATTTTTATTTTTGAGAATAGCACATATGACATTCCATTTTTTTCTTTACCTACTTGAAAAAAAAGGTGTAGACGAACAAATAACCACAGAAATAAAACTAATTAAGCAAAGGTGAAACTAAAAAATTGAATTGCATTGTCGAACGTGTGTTGCACGTGCACGCTTACTAGTAGGGGCAAAATGAAAGTTGCGACTGGGCGTGCTCTGCCACTTTCCGTTCGTTTTTTGGCAGTCGACAACCATAGGACTCCCTTCTTTTTGTCGCTTGGGAATTTCAGAAATTTCAAATTATAATTCTAATTTCTTCTGACTTTTTTGTGTGGAAATTTGTCCAAAATATTTTCGTTCAAGCCCCTCGCTTGATCAAGTTGAAGTACTTTCTTAAAGCATCTACATCCGGGCCTCAAACCGATGTCAAATGCCCCGCGGGGCGGACGGTCACTGATCGGTCAAAAAAAGAGACCCACCTAAAGCGCTCATACCGGCCTCAAACATTTGGGCTGTCCAGCACCCTCATGTTCGCCACATCAGCTCGGCCCACCATGACCCACGTTGTCCCCACAAAATCCCTATCCGGAGCAAACCCTACGCTCACTTCGCTCCTCACCGCTTCATCTCTTATCCTCCCTTTCTCCCAATCCCGATCTCCGTCAACCATGTCTATGAAGGAAATATGCCCTAGAGGCAAATAAAGTTATTATTTATTTCCTTATATCATGATAAATGTTTATTATTCATGCTAGAATTGTATTAACCGGAAACATGATACATGTGTGAATACATAGACAAACAGAGTGTCACTAGTATGCCTCTACTTGACTAGCTCATTGATCAAAGATGGTTATGTTTCCTAGCCATAGACAAAGAGTTGTCATTTGATTAACGGGGTCACATCATTAGGAGAATGATGTGATTGATTTGACCCATTCCGTTATCTTAGCACTTGATCGTTTAGTATGTTGCTATTGCTTTCTTCATGACTTATACATGTTCCTATGACTATGAGATTATGCAACTCCCGTTTACCGGAGGAACACTTTGTGTGCTACCAAACATCACAACGTAACTGGGTGATTATAAAGGTGCTCTACAAGTGTCTCCGAAGGTACTTGTTGGGTTGGCGTATTTCGAGATTAGGATTTGTCACTCCGATTATCGGAGAGGTATCTCTGGGCCCACTCAGTAATGCACATCACTTAAGCCTTGCAAGCATTGCAACTAATGAGTTAGTTGCGGGATGATGTATTACAGAACGAGTAAAGAGACTTGCTTGAACTAGGTATTGAGATACCGACGATCGAATCTCGGGCAAGTAACATACCGATGACAAAGGGAACAACGTATGTTGTTATGCGGTGTGACCGATAAAGATCTTCGTAGAATATGTGGGAGCCAATATGAGCATCTAGGTTCCGCTATTGGTTATTGACCGGAGACGTGTCTTGGTCATGTCTACATAGTTCTCGAACCCATAGGGTCCGCATGCTTAAAGTTCGATGACGGTTATATTATGAGTTTATGTATTTTGATGTACCGAAGGTAGTTCGG